TTGTATATTGTTAAGTTGAAAGTGAAAAATATTAAAGTTCTTGGCTAGCAATCAACTTTTAATTTATTGCCTTCCACTTGTTCGGTTTCTTTTTTAGTTTGAAAGAAAACTGTTTGAATTCTTACAGGAAAAATGTGTTTTGTGTTCCCGTACTTTTTGGTTGTTACTAATTTTTACTCTCACTTCCGAGAGTAATTTTGCTGTTTGACATTTTTACAGGATTTTACACGAAAAGTATTGGAACAGAGCTAATATAAAAGTTTTTAAATTCTAAATGTTTTTATTTAGATAGTCAACAATTTATGTACCTATTCTTGAATTACTTTCATTATGCAGGACTACCAAAACAGGAACTATTCCTCCACCAGAAATAAATATTACTTCATGGGCTTCTGAATCTATAAAACTCATAACCTTAAAAAAAAAAATCAAGTTGTCCAGCTCGGCTTCGGTCATAATTTCGCGGCCAGTGGGGTACAAGTAAAAGCAGATTCTCGTTGAGCCCTGCGCACGATCGCTGGCCGAAGTAGCATAGAAAATGAGTTTTTTTTTTCTAAATAGCGGTTATACCGCGGTAAGCAATGCCAAATCTCTGAGTATGCTTCTGGCACGAACGTTCTCGAAAATATTTAATTGTCGTTCAGAGTTGGCGAAAAATTGTCCATTTGGGTTAATTGCTTTTTCAAACTATCCAGCTTAAAAAGAGAAAACACATAGAACTTTATGTAAAGTTTTTTTTTATTAATTTTTTTCTGAATTACACACAATACAAGTGTTTTTTTTCCAAATTGTTTGCACACATATAAATGTAATTTGTTTATATCGCTAATATTTTATTTTTTTATTGTATTTATTTTGCCATTGCATATTGTTGTCAAATTTTCGTAAGCATTCTTCTAAATCATTTCGGTAGAATTGAAAGCATTTAATAAATATAAATAAGAACACATTCGTCTTTTTTGTACGAATTTCTTTATAAAAATTTTTTATTAAGCAATGATTTCCTTATTAATCTTGGTATTTACTGCCTGTAATTTAGCTTAAAAAAGGTGGAAAATTCAGCTATTTCTGCAAGCTTTGCTTTTTAGTAGAGCTGGTTGGTGGAAATGTTTACGCTATTGTCATATTGCTGGCTATACATGTGACCGTGAAGTATTTATTAATAAATATACATATGTATACAGTGCCAGCAAATTGACAAGCGCCCTCGACTCAATATCAAGTATTGACAGATTTCCTTTTGTTTATTTAATAATCCAAATTCAAAATTTATACAAAATTTATAATTCAACAAATTTTCATCAAAATTTCCAAAAATTTCATATGAAAAAATAGATTTTGTACATACGTTGCATGGCAGAAAACGCGCAACAACCTCGGCAAAAAATATCAAAAATCAAGGGTACTTTATATGCCCTTGAAATTTGCACTTCATTGCCTACTACATTTTTTAAAGTTTAAAATTTGGTTGAATTATTATAAGTTTTGTTTAAAGTTTGAAAATCGCATTTACATGGTTTTTGTTATAGAATACCTTATAACTTTTATAAAAAATTATTAAATATTAAATAAACACAAGGAAAACTCTCAATACTGAGGATCAGAAGTGGCCGCTATACAAGTGGCCGCCACTGTATACATACATATGTATATACATATGCATCTATGGTTGGTATGTGTACGTAATGTTCAAGTTTGAGTACTTGTACACTCTTCTTAATTTTGTCTAATCTGTGTAAATCTAACAATATTATTGTGACATGATAAAATATTTTTTGAAACATTATTGCAATATTTGCTTTTATTTTTATTGTTTTTTTATTTCATTATCTTAATTAAAAATTAATTTAAATCACAATGTGTCAAAAAAAGTCATTTCAAAAAAGAACAAGTACGTACTACATATTAAAATAAGGCCTTTTGCATAATACCTTGTTACGTTTATAAATAGTTTATTATGCCTTGCACTGTTTTGTTTTTAACCGACTTCACATAAAGGATAAGGTTATCAATTTGTCGGAATATTTTTATTTTCTATTTTTTTTTGTATGTGGACCACGTTAACCGATTTCTATATATAAGGTGTTACCTCACAGGTGGTCCCATACTAATTTGGTTTAAATCCGATCATTGGATCATGAAGAAATTAACGATAATCTTAAATGTTTATATGAGAATTGAAGCCGGTTTTGTTTTTTGCTTAAAAATTACTTGTTTTTTTTTCATAAAATAGTTGAATTTTTATCGTTATAAATTTTTAAATAATAATGTGCTGAAGTTTTTGCTCAAAGGCTATTATTTATGAACGAAAGCTTCAAAATATTGAAACATTTTTGTAATACGGAAAGTTGAACTAAAAGCTAGTATAAATTATTTAAACTGAATGCAGAGAAGTTAAAATAAAAATGTTTGAATAGGTTTTTGAGCAGTAGTTTTGTAAAATGCATTTTTTTAAGTAATACTCGTAAGAGAGTATCAAATACAAGCTGTACGAAAGATTATGCGACTTCAAGTCAGAGACTTAATTTGAAACCTTTTAAAGAAATACTTATCATGTTACATACATATGTACATATGTATTCCTATACGCAGTGGCGGCCACCTAATAAAGGACACCACTTCTTTAGAAGTTTTGACCATTTGTTTTTAATTTATTTATTTTTTCTTACAGAAATATACATAGGTTATACCTCAGCAAAAACTATATAACTCAAACCTTGTACAAGATTTATAAAAATTCGACAAGTTTAAAAAAGTGGTCATCAAAATTTCAAACTTCGTATGGTTTTCGTTCTGCTACAAAATATATTTGTTTAAAAAATTAAAAAAAAAAAATGTTCAAAACTTGTAAAGAAATAGTGTGCCTAATTACGTGGCCATCACAGGTAATGTGTTGTATATACATATAGTGGTGGTCAAATCATATGCAACTGATACGAATATTTTAGAAAGACTGGCAGAAACTAGTTTTATGAAATAGAAACTGCAGATATTTATTTTGGCTAAGTTTAGTAGCTTGGTGCTGGCAGGATGCATAACTGTGGTACATGATAGATATTTTCATCGATAACGACAATTCATCAATAGTCATATTTTGCATGATTAATTACTTCAATGGTGAACATTTAACATACTATTTAGATGCGAATGCGTGAATAATCAACGACAGCTTCGTATTGGTGAAACATTTAAGTTATTAAATTGTCAAAAAATCATCATTGCGTAACTAGTTTCGGAGTACCCCGAAATGATCTCGAATAGGGTCCCAAAATAGTACTGAGGTAGTTCCGAAAAAGTCGTGAAATGTAGATGCATTTGTTTTGAACGCCAGTGTAAATCGTATTCAAAGACGTTTTTGAAACTTTTAATAAAAAACAAAAAAAAATGGAAACAATTTTGTAAATCGTACTTTTCTAATGAATTTCTGAACACGACTAAAAATAGTGTAGAATTTATACATATAGATTTAGCTCAAGACAAATCCGCCTCAAGTTTAAGCCTAAAAACATTTCTTTTTTTACATTTAAACTAATAAGCTTCTTTTTGGTTGCATCACATTTTGCATATTAAAATTAAAATTATAAAAGAACTTAAGTACAAAACTGCAAGTGCTTTGATTTTCATAAAAAAAGTTCTTTTGAATATACAATTTTTTATTTTGCGTTTGCGTTAGCCATTTTATTGCTATATGCTATTGTTGGCCATTTTTAATTAAGGCAATTCCCTTAAACTCAAAAAACTCGAAAATGCGAGAATCGGAAACATATGTATTTTATAAACGATTTGACAGTTTGGTTAGTTGCAGTTACATTACACTCGCAGTTTTCGAGGTGTTTTTTTTTTTCAGTTTAACCCTAGCATACCAAGATAATTTTTTTCTCAATTAATACTAATGTTGAGGCTACTTTAGGAAAAATATACTTTTTTTCTTTTTAAAACCTTAATTTTTTTTAAGGGCTCACACTTAGAAGTTTCTAAAAGAAATAAAAAAAATTAATTCATAAATCTAATATTGTTAAAACTAAATGCATATTGAAAGTAAACAAACTTTTCATCGTTTCTTTTTAGAGATAATGAGGGCATTGACACCTATCTGGTCATCGGGTTATATTTTTTATTTAGTTTACAACCAAAAACTCCATAGAATAATAATTTAAAACTAGATAACCTGATAACCATGCAAGAGTGAACACCCTCAATCAATAAAAAATAAGAATTAAATTTATCTTACTTTTAAATAGAAACTGATTTTTTTGTTTCTGAAGAAATTGCATTAATTAAATACATAAATTACGTAATTTATTTTGCTTTTCAACAGCATAGAAAATTAAATAGTATTTTACCTAAAAACAAGCAATGCTTTGCAATTCCTCAAGGAGATAACTTAAAGTACATATATGTACTTAAAACTAAATACATACTTAATAATACATAGTATGTACATAAAATTGTGTTGTTTCAAAATGATGTAAAAATAATACTTCCGCATATACATACGTTGTATTTATTGTGTAAAAAATAGTTTGCGAGTATAAAATAAAATACATAAATAACTGCTTAGCAAATGCAGAATCGTTAATTTGACATATAAACACATACATACATACATACATACATGCAATACATCTAAATAAAATAATCAGAGTTTCCGTTCGAAGCCATCAAATGACTTCAGCGCATATTTTAGTTTCTTCTTCTCCTTAAAGTTTAAATATTTGCAGTTGCATTATTTTATTATTTTTTAATTGTGCACCGAACCAGAACACACAAAATATTATAAACAACAAATGCGCCATAAGCATGATTAATTTTTTTTTTTCATTCAGCAAATACAAATTAAAAAACAAAAAACGCCAAAAATCTGCATTTCACTTTACGCATTTAGGCAAAGCGTAACGCTGATTTCTTGTGTTTACTTCAATGCATTTGTGTACGGAACTTTTGAGCATGATTTCGATACTTCTCATTGTTCTTATAGGCGTGCGATTTCCATACTAACGTTTTTTTTGTAAAAATGCGTTTTTCCAACCCTTCCTACTGCACATAGCTTTATATAGCAACTTTTTGTATGCCAGATTCAGCAGCATCCATATGCAACATTACTATGGAGCCAACCATGGCGACCACTGTGCGATCCAGCCATGTAACGGGATTGGGATAAATTAAGCCACCTTCATAGAATCCCAAATGTCCGCCGTGGGCCAATTCAATGTAAGCCGTATTGGGACGCGACACTGCAGAAGAAGAAGGGAATATATTATTTATGACATCTTTTACTTACAATAAAAAGCTTTTACTACACAATGAATAAAAAAATAACTTATACAAATTTAATAAAAAATAAAGATAAATAAAAAATATATAACATAAAATAAATATATAGAATAAAAAATCCATAAAACAAAAAATATATAAAATAAAAAATATATAAAATAAAAAATATATAAAATAAAAAATATATAAAATAAAAAATATGTTAATTAAAAAATATACAAAATAAAAAATATATTTATTAAAAAATATAGGTATAAAATAAAAAATACATAATAAAAATGAATATCAATAAAAAAAGAATATGTAATAGAAAATATATATTAAAGAAATAAATAATAAAAAAATAAATAGCAATAAATAAATAAAAAAAAAAAACATTAAATAATTAAAAAATATTAAATAATAAAAAAAACTAACTTCCTTCGCAGTCGGTAGGATTCGAACCTACGCTCCCAGAGGGAATCTGATTTCTAGTCAGACGCCTTAACCGCTCGGCCACGACTGCTGCTTAGCGAACAGCGGCCAAATGACTATTTTGTCAAAGCTTACTCAGAGCAAACAGTTCTCACCTAACGAACAGGGTTGCAAATTCGCAGGGTGCACTTGATGATTATTTTTTTTCGTTATTCGAAAAGTTTTTTGATGATGCATTTCCGAACATCATTTTTTGCATTGTTCAAAAAAAAATTTTTTGATGATGCGTTTCCGAACATTTTTGCAATTTGCAGGTTTTAAATATAAAATAAAAAACAACAAGAACGAGTTTAGTCCATTAATAGTGCGATCAGCTTACATATGTACATACAGCAGTGTTCACGAAAATAGCAGCGCTACGTATTGACAAGCTTTGACGATTTAATTTACTTTTATTTCATTTTAATTTTTTTTTTATAAAAATACAATTACATATTTCTACAACAAAAACCATACAAAGAACATACTTTTGTATAAGTAATTTTCATCTTTTTAGTACTCGCTGGCAAAAAAAAACCCGATTTTATAGAAATGTTTAAAAGTTTTGCGGTGAACTATCCACTTATCCTTATCGCTTTTTTCCTAACCAGAAATGTTTGTCAAATCTTTGGAAATTTGAGCAGTTAAAATGAAAGATTTCTTTGAATTGCAAATGGTAAATTCTTACAGAAAAACCTTTTACTTCTGCCGAAAAAAACAGTCGGTAAAATGGGGAGCTCTTGTTAATCAACAATTTTAGGCAGGGCCATACCTTTGAAAGCTGTATAAGAAGACCTTCCAATAGCTCGGCTATTCGGAAACAGGCGAGTAGGGGGTTTTTTCAAAGAAACAGATGTCAAATAAAAAGAGAATTGGAACAAGCGTCTCGCGGTGTGTGTGGAGCAAAGTTACAATGGTAATGCGTCATCATTAAATATTTGGTGAAAATTTCCGCTTCTATGAGAAGCCGATTTAGGAGGCCTGAAACTTCCATACAAAAAAAGAAAAAGAGTAAAAAAAGAGTAGAGCGGAGCCGCTGTATTTTAATCAGCCACCCTATATCTACATATATATATCGTTGCAAAGCTCGAACAGCTCATCGTTTTTGGGTCTAAATAGTACAATAACCTGGTTTCGGCGAAAACCAATCCCCTCTTAAAATTGCATTAATTTAACTCACTGCTTAACAACTTACATGCAAACTCCTTAATGGGTGGCAGCAACTCTTCCGGCACAAGTGGATCGTCCTTGGCATTAATGAATATCATAGGTTTTTCGATGTTGTCTAAAAAGTGTAATGATGAACTCCACTTGTATAACTCTTGTGTAGTTGAGAAATTATGTATACGACGTGTATATGCTTCATCCAATTCCGGCAGTGTAGCGGCAGCAATAATTTCGCGTTCATTTAAATTATGACGTGCCTTTACCTCGTCCGATAGTAAAACATGACGATGCTTCAGTATGATACTCTTCACATTCTCTGTCATCACATACAAATAGAAACGGCGGAAATTTTGCCAATTTAAGAGCCATTTGGTGCCTCTGTGGAAAGAAAAATGTACATATGTAGAGATACAATTAAATTTTATTAATTTTCGCAATCCAATAAATATTGGCCAAAGTGTATTGACATGCAGGCATAGGCAGGCAGCCCGCGGACATGCAAATAACAAATTGATTGATTGTTCCACTTACTCTTCTGCATTGTAGCCCTGACATATTGAAATGCCACCAAGTATTGTTTGAGGCTTCGTTTTTGTTGTCTCGCCCATATATTTCGTGACAAGATTGCCACCTAAGCTAAAGCCAACCGCAACAATGCGGCTATGTGGATATTTCTTGTGTAAATTGCTGACCATATCGGCAAAGTCATCGGTGTGGCCTGGAATTGTGTGTATGAAATATTGCATAAATGCAGTTTGAGTCATTTAGAAAAATATCGCTTTCAAGAAACATTACACTGGTGATCATTTTATTCGCATGTAATATGACCTACTCAATCCGAGTGTGACCGCGATTCTCTGCAAAACTGATTAAGCCAGTCAATATACATAGCAATTAAAGTGGAAAAAATTACGCACAGAATAAAAAAAAAGTACTTAACATGCTGTTGAGAAAAATATTTTAATTTATCCTACCTCTTCATTTGACACCAACAAATATTTTTAATTAATTTAAACCTAATAAAAATTATTGCATCGCTGATTTATCACTGACGCTCAAAGGGACAAATGTAGAAAAAAAGAAGTTGTCGTAATTTGTTGAAATTAAACTGGTTTTTGTAGTGGTTACCCTTTTCGAAAAACCCGAGGTTTTAGTACCGGTTACCAATTTCGAGGTAAGCGTAGTGGTCACGCCCATTATTTATTATGGTGATTTCCAAAATTAAATCGGTTTTATGGTATTGGTTATCAGTTTCGTAAAAACGGAGTGCCACACCCATTTTTTAATAAAAAAAAAATTACGTTATGCGTTAGGATTTTTATGTAGATCAATTTAATAATTATTAAAACCTCGCATAATTTGAAAATTTTCCAACTTTTTCTTTGTAATACCTTGAACAATATGTGTGCATTAGGGCGGTCCAAAAATGCACGTGAAATAGTAAAGTCGAAATTTTTATACTCTCATCCCTACGATTGTTCTATACCGAAAAACATATAAGTACACCTGTTTTTTATTTATATTTTTTTTACCAAAAATTATCTTGAGGTCGCTGAAAGCGCTCAAAGTTTTCTATGTATTTTATATGGGGAAAAAACAACTTTTCGTAGAAATGGTAAAGAATTCTTAAAAATCAATATTTTTCGGTCGGAAAACTCTGTTTCTCTGTAGAAGATACCCAATAATAATACTCAATTGTTTATTTAACCATTTTTTCATGGTGACCATAATTTAAAGGTCCACGAAAAACTTCCAAAAACCCCGAAAAATGCAATAGGAGGACCACTAAAAATCGTTAGCATTAAAAAAATGGTTAAATAAACAATTGGGTATTATTATTGAAAGTCTCCTGAAGAGAACAGAGTTTTCCGATCGAAGCATTAAAATTCAGACTTTACTTTTTTTTTGACCACCCTAGTGTATATACTATGTATACAAAGAATCTCTCATTAGTAGGCGTGGCTATGCGTATTTGCCAAAAAAAAAAAAACTTTAAAACGGTTTTAAGAGATTCGCTTTGTATAAGTTGAGCTCTCGTAAAAATCGACTGGCTATTCGACTACCCGAAATTATTCGAACAGTGACAGTTTTTCACTATAAAATTATTGTTATTAGCGCGGTTGGCTTTTGCCAATAAGCACAAGTATTCAAAAAATATAAAAAAGACAATGTTAACTGAAAGAAAACAACTAGTCGAAAAACCTAAAATCAACGGTTAGTCGACTAGTAGGTTGATTGTGAGCGGTTAGTTGAAAAAGTCGAAAGGAAACGGTTAGTTAATTAAGTGAAGTCGATAATTTTTTAAATAACTTTAATAATAATATTTTGGTTTAGTTAAATATCCCCTAAACCATTATTTTACATAGAACAGTTTTTAAACTTAAAGGGCCGTTTGCACCATGTCTGGTTAATTCTAACGTGGTTATCGACAGCCAGGTTATAACATGTGATCATAAAGCAGTCGATGTGCTTAACTGAAGGATGTACCTCCAGTTAGCGTTAACTAGACATGGTGCAAACGGCCCTAAGACATTGCGACGCTTAACACGTTTTGCGAATTCCCTAATGGCATATGAAAATTTAAAAATTTCGCTTTAGGATTTTTTTAAAATGCCGGTTTTTTTCATAAGTACCGTCATATGAGAATTGATCGGTAAATTGGTAACCGGTACAAAAAAACGCTTTAATTTTTTAAAGTTGGTAACCGGTACTAAAACTCGGGTTTTTTCTAAATCGGTAACCGGTACAAAAAAAAAACGATTTCATTTTTTAAATCACCGTGAAGAAATGCTTATAGGAGTACATTTTCAACAAATTGCGAGTTTTGTATTTTTCCATTTGTGCGCCAGTGATAGTAACAGCGATGCAGTAATCGCCAATCGTTTTTAATTAACCAAATATATCTTACTTTGATTAAAATACTTTTCTCAACAGCATGGCACCTTTTTTATCCTGTGCGGACTTTTTTCCACGTGAATAACATTGCCTGGACTAACATTGTTTCTGGATGTAAATGATGGCAGGGTTGGCTTGATTAATTTTTAAATTTAACTCACCATAACTGAAGATACGCGTCGACGTCACCTGAACACTATTCAGCGCACCAATATGATTAAGTACAGCACATCTGTAGCCATGCACTTGTGAATAATGCACAAATGTGCGAATATAGACACTCTCCGATGTATTGCCGATTCCTGGACAAATCGCAATTGTGACATCATCTGTAATTAGCAGGACATTATATCAATATTTTCAAAATGTTCCGTTTGAAATTTTAGTTTTATTAATTGCATACCTTCGGCTTCATTTATCGGCTGATAGAGATCGTAAGTGAGCGTGGAGCCATCCTGCAACAATAGATACACACGTTCACCCAACGGCCAAGGGCATTTCACACGGCCTACTATACTATGCAGCACCGTTTGTACGTGACCACTAAAACCCCATAAACGTGTGGGAACATAGCTGTAAAATAATAGAAGGATTACAAGAGCGTTTGTGAGTAAACAGATGTTTCGGTGAGAAATAATGTATGGGAATAAGTTAAAGCGTATTTAAGTGGTAGTACATATGTATGTATATAGCAAATAAAGTTAGTTTATTAGTCTTCATCACTAAATCGCCTATCAAGCGTGGGATTCAAATGTCCATAGTCATCGTGTCACCATCAAGAAAACGTGACAATCCAAGCACTTGAGTACTTGTAAAATATTCTCTCTTGAATAATAAATTGCTCAAGCTAATGTATAATTAATGGTCAGTTGATTATTTAAACCACTTTTGACGGCAGATCCGCCGCCTCCTCATGCTTAATTAGAAAATTTACGGAAATTTATAAAGTATATTTTCATATCTTTTAACAATAACAACACTGTGCAATACAATGAGCCGCATAAAAAGGTCGGGCTGTAAAGTTTATAACTTTTATTAAAAAATTACTTTTTAATGATTATTTACTGAGTTTTAAATTTAGATCGGAAAATCATTGTTATTTTTTAGTTATATTTTTTTCTTAGTAAATCAAACTAAATTTTTTATTTATTTTTTTTATTAGAAAGCAAAGTAGCTTTTGGTGTTTTCCTTAAGGAGCGGTAGCGAGCTCAAAATCGTCAAATAAATAATAAAATAATCGTCAAGTAAATATATGACATTCTTAAGGTAAAGAACTAATACTAAAATTAGGACTAAACCTAAGAAAAGTCCAAAGCCAAAGACGAAACGATAACGACGCGAAGCCGAAAGCTAATACAAACACGAAGATGAATTCAAAGACGAACACGAAGGCGATTACGAATACAAAGGCAAACACGGAGGCGAGAGCGAGGACGAACAAGAAGACGATGACGAAAACGAATATAAACACGAAGACAAAGACGAATATGAATATGACCACAAAGGCGATCACGAATACGAAAGCGAACACAGACACGAAGGTGAAGATGAATAAGACGACAACGATGGCAACGACGAAAACAAACACTAAAATAGTTATATCAATGGAGGCGATCACGAATCCGAAAACGAACATGAGGACGAATACGAACACAAACACGGAGACGAATAAGGAGACGACGAAGAGGTGAGGTGAGCAACATACATCTCCATCATAATCTTCAACTTCCTCTCCATCTTTATCTTCATCTTTATAGTCATCATCATCTCAACTTAAACTATATCTTCAACTTCACTCCATCTTCATCTTCACCGTCATCTTCATCTTCACCTTCAACTTCATTCACATCATTTTCATCTTCATCTTCAACTTCATTTCAACTTCAACTTCACGCCTGCAGGGCCCAGCACAAAAACAGAGAAAGTGCTCAGCATTTTCTTCTCCTTCACACAAGTGACTCATGTTGGGTTGACGATGATGCCTGTGGCAGCCTTATAGCTTGTATAATATTTAGCAACTTCCAAGTTTTTTTTAACTTGAGTATTTAGGCATCTCTAAGTATATGTTATTTAAGTTTCTTCACATTAGAATTGAACATTAAGCCCATTCGCCCTTCGGAGGCGGCGTAAAAATGGAGCTCCCTCCCCTTTGTGTGAAAACAACAAGGCGCACACCACAAATCGAAGGAGAAGCATGGCCGAGCACTGGCAAATTTGTAAGCGCCAAATATATGTATATATATATATATATATATATATATGTATATATGTATTTTTTATTCAGTTAAATATCGTATATGGACTGTGAATATTTTTAGTGCATAATATAAAAAAAAGACATTTTGAGTTGATACACTTTTGAAGAACGTGTGTAGGTAGGTATGTATGCAAATGAAGTATGTACAGTCTAAAGCCCTTGATATAACTACTAACTACGTAGGCAGCCAAGTTTAATTCAAAATTATATAAAATATATATTTTGCGCCTTTTTGCCAGCCGGATCACGTTGGATTTGCTGACTGAACGCATGACCTCCCTAAATTGATTCAATTTACGGTCATTTTTACGTGTGAAAGAGTACTTAGATAAATTTGCGGCAACTACTTGTTGTTGCTTATGTTTAACCCTATGGAAAATTGCTTTCCGGCTGGAGAATAAAACAAGGAAAATAAATACAAAAAAACTAAGCAACGATGATTAGATGAATCATAGGCATTTGATGGACAATATTTGCAAACATGTGCTTGCCGGTTTATTTTAAGCAAAAGTATTTTTTTAATATACACTGTGAATGAGGCGTAGCACATGGGGGCAGGAGGCCATGCATATGTACATGCATACATATATTGCGTTGTATGAATATATTCTTTTATTCAATGATATATTACTCAATTTACGTAATTATTTAAGTACTACAAATAGTAATTTAAATTTAAATCCTACTAATATTAAAAATGTGAAATTTTGTGAGTGAGTGTGTAGATACGTATTAGGTTGATTGACTCGGTTTTTACAAACCGGTTTTTTTGGAAGTCTATAGACGATTTTTTTGAAATCTTGATTTTTCGAATATCGAATAAACTGGATTTTTCGATCGAACAAACCGGTTTTTTTCATTTCATCCAAATCCAATAAAAGTTTTAAGTTTTTCAAAGTTTTCCAGTTTAAGGGAGGCCCTTTAATAGTTTTAAAATTATATCCTATGTTGTTTGGGGATGAAAAGTATATCATATTTGATTCAAATAAATTAATGCTTGGCGCTTAAACGCTTACTATGTGTTTGGCCGAGGTTCTCTTAAAATTCGTGTTCTGATTTTTTATGGCAGAAGTACACTCGAAGGTGTGCCATTGTTATGTTGCAGGGACCAGAAATTGAATCACGGATCTCCCGAGTGACAGTAGGCAAGCACTCGGCTATGGCGGCAAAAGCACTACTCAATACCGGAAAAAAGTCAGATAAAATGCAATAAAGTAATTAAAAAAATATTAAACGTGAAGTTTTAACTTTTGATCTAAAAAACTGTACTTATTCTGCTTTACTCTTTTCTAAATAAAAGCTAAATTTCAGAGACCGTACCGGTTATGCATTTTATAATAAAAGTCAAAAAATTAAAGTTATTTTTTGACTTTTATCATTTTGAGCAAATAATACCGATTATTTCTGCTTTTTATTTTTTTAAGGCAAAAATAAAAGTTAAAATTTGCCTTTTATCTTTTTGAGCAGAAAATAATCGGTAATTCTTGACTTTTATTTTTTTCAGGCAGAAATAAAAGTCAAAGTTAAAAATCAAGTATTCCAGAGTTGTGTATATTCGAATGTGATAGTTTTGAAGCTCCTACATGGATTTTAATAACCCCTAATACCCAAATACCGGAGTTAGTTCCAATCTATATGTATACATATACATATGTACATACATACAATACATGAAGGCATTTTTTGTTAACGACATCAGATCTGCACCGATTACTCGATTTGCAAAACTGAGGTGCCAAATTAAAGGGCTTAGCCTCTAGATATACCACAAGGTAGGACTCCTTTGTATAGGGTTGCCACCTTTTTTAAATTATAAAATCTGCACCGTTAGTTGTATTAAAACAAAAGAGATGACAAATGAAAGGGCTGGGCCTGTTGATGTGCAAGAAGGTCTCTTTTTTTTGAGCAGGGTTGCCACCTGCTTCTAAAATAAAAGACTTACACCGTTCGTTGTATTAAAACAGAAGAGGTGCCAAATGAAAGGGCTGGGCCTGTAGATGTGCAAGAAGGTTTCAGTTTTTTGAATAGAGTTGCCACCTGCTTCTAAAATCATAAGACTTACACCGTTCGT